TCTGTCCCATAACCGGGCCTGAACCCTGACTGATAGGGGTCCAGATAATCCGTTTCCTCCATGATCCTCTGAAGGTGCCACATGACTACCTTTTCCACCACCTTTCCTAGAAAGGGAAGGTGGGAGACTGGACGAAAATTGTCCAGAAGGGTGGGATCTAGTGATGGTTTCTTGAGGAGGGGGTGGACCAAAGCCTCCTTGAAAGGCTTCGAGAACAGCCCTTCCTGCAAGGATGAATTGACCACTGCCAGCATCCACCCTAAGGTCACCTCCTTGGTGGCTTTAACTAACCAGGAGGGACAAGGATCTAAGATTTAGGTAGCCGCACTAACAGCCCCGAGGACCCTGTCCACTTCCTCAGCCCAACAGGATCAAACCGTTTCCATAAAGCTGCTACAGAAGATGACCTAGATGGTATACGTGCAATGATAAAAGCTGGTGCAGAAGTTAACTTTTCATTCCAACTTATATATTCCTCTGGGCTCCTGTAAGCTTCACTTAGCATATTATCAGATATATGAATACCATCAATTGACATTTTATTTTGATAGTTAGTATACAGTATGTCTTCTTTTAACTTTATATATTAATATCCTGTCAATGACAATTTATCAGTGTGCAAATAATCAAGCAATTTGTTTCTAATTCCCTTACAGATGGAAAGTCAGTAAAAGTTATTCCAGAAGTACTCTTAGTGCTATCTAACAGAGTTATTCCATAAGACCTTTTGGGGACAAAATATGAAGTAATGAAAAACATGGCAAGGTTCCAAATAGAAAACAATGTTGTTTGTTTCTTCTTTAAAATGCATTAAGGAGGCAGGGTGATTACACAATAAAAGCTTTGTTTGGAAGTACCACAATCTCCACTAAGTAGCATGAGTTGTGTTTCCTAATCATCTATGCAATATGTTCATTATATTTCCTGCTACAGTATACATAAAAGATAATTAGAAACATGAAAACTGTTACATCTTTATATATTTCTAAAACAAAAATACACGGTGTTATGATTCATGCCATTTAAAGAATTTCATTTGTTTCATTTTTATTTTCTTTCTCAGGAAAGCAGACCATTTTTAATTGTTGTTCCAATGACTCCTCATGTAATTACATTCCACTGTCTGTAATCAACAGAAGAGACACTTTTGGTCAGACATTGTTGCATAGAGCTGCTACAGAAGATGACCTAGATGGTATACGTGCAATGATAAAAGCTGGTGCAGATGTTAATGTCCAGGACTATGCAGGTAAGCATAATATCCAACATAAAATTTGTTTTATAAAAATGATAGGATCGATCTTACTTAATTGAAGCAAGAATAATATATTGTACTGCATAGTCTATACAGGTTCAAAATTACCAGATTTCATTTTGTTCAATGAAACTCAGGTGTTCAGCTTTCAAATTGAATAATAGTTTCTGTAGATGTAAATTTTCCTGCAGGGCTTTAAAAGTTAATATAAGTGAAGACAGAATATAGACATACAGGCAAGCAAGCAGATTGTTCTCCACGTAATACATTCTGACATGTTTTGGAATAAGTGGGAATATCATTCACAACTTGCTAAAATTTAAAACTTGCTTTTGTTCAAAATGAATGAACAAGTTGAGTGGCTAAGTAGAACTTGGTCTTCCTAACAATACTTAAATGAGTCTAATGTGATAATATTAAGCAGACATTTTTGAAATTGGTGGGAATATTTAGATATCTGAATTGTACCGGAATGGAAATTAAAAGTCAGTAGAAAATAATTATGTAATGTTTGTGCTGGACTTCGTTCTATTAAAGAAAAATAATGTATTTTGGAGAAAATAATGTACTTTTCAATTCTATAGGGTGGACTCCATTACATGAGTCCAGTTTGGCTGGTTGTTTTGAAATATCAAATGAACTTCTAAAAGCAGGAGCAGATGTTAATTGTAAAGGATATGAGCAAGTAACACCATTACATGATGCTGTTAAAGATGGTCACTACAAGGTATAATTTATGTCCCTGAAAGTATTCTACAAAATGTTTTGCATGATGTTCAGGCAAATCACCTTGCTTGTTTCCTTATTATATTCACAGCAATTAAAAACTGTCATCCCGAATCTAGTGTTTTCCAGTTAGGTTGGGCATATATTAATTCCCTGTCAACATGTATTTCTCTCTGCTGTAGGATTCAGCTTCCAATTTGCAGGAACCTTAAGAATGCATCAGGTTTTGGGCTTCTCTGTTGCATCAAGTTGGAGTGCAGTACTCTGATATCTGTGGCTGCTGCATTATGTTTTGTAAATGGGCTATATTTCACTCCAAGTAATAGATGTCTTAGTGATCTTTTTCCTGTCAGATTAGAGGCTGTGTTGTAGAGTAACAGAAAGGGACATGTCATGTATCTTCTGTCTGTGATTATAGTATCTGATTGAAGAAGAGGTCATGTCTTGAGCTATCAGCTAGTTTGGGTCTTTGAAGTGCATTGTTAAGTCATACTAGCTAGATTAATAATGATTGCCTGATAAAGAACCTTAATTTTCTTCAGTTTTGAGTTCTTCTTTGCACCATCTAGGGGAGAAATAGAGAAATAATTCAACCATCCTGGAGCTCCATCTTGACGCAGGAAGCCTAAATTCTCCTGTGCAGCTCATCTCCTCCAAGTCTTGCTACAAGTTCTGTGCAATGCAACTGCTACAAGTACGACTTTCTTATATTAGAGAGTCTATTCAGCAGGGGGAGCCCTAAAGCTACTGTATTCCTGAATATGGCAGGGTTTGTTTGTTTTTTTTGGCCTCCAGATACCTAGCAAATTTTGCTTTAATCTATTTCCAGTTACTTGGGAATTAATTAAAATATGAATGTAGACATATATTCCCTAAATGTGATGGTATATTTCTTCTGAATATTTGTCATTTTTCTTATTAATCATTCTGACTTGTTGATTTATAAAGTGATTTTGTTCTAAAAATAATTAATTTTTCTCACTAACCACCAGTTTTGTAAATTCCTAAAGTAATTTATTGCTCCCATCTTGCTCCCTACATATTTGTATTCGACTTCTTACACATAGTATTAGAGATGCAAATCAAACTTTGGTTTTTAATTTTTTGTAAAAATGTTGTAGTACAGTCAAAAGGAGGTAGTTATCTCTCCTCTGTTATAGAAGGGTTTTTCTTTGATGTGTCCTCCAGAATATATTTCAGGATTCAATTCTAAACATATCTACTTCACTTAATGAGATTTCTTCGAGGCAGATAGATTTGTTTGTTTTCTTTTGGACAAGTCTTTTTTAATATAATGACAGTGGTAAAGCTGCCATACTGACATTTACCAACTCATAAAAGTGTAAAATTAAGCACAAATTAGATCTGCTAATTTATTGTGTTCTTTTTGCAAGTTCAAAATTAGGATAACTTTGTATTCATGGGTTTCTTGGTAGGATTTTTTCCCTATTTTCAGTATTATTCAGTGTTCTCACCATGCAGCTGCTTCTGTCATCTTTTATTCATAGAACTGTAGGATTGGAAAAGGTGTTAACTGAATATAACTCAGTTCTTCATTAATGAGGCTTACTATGATGTCACTATTGTTCACTCGAATGGGAACTGATTCATGCATAAGCTGAGCTTTAAATCCAAAACTAATACAGACTAGGCTTATCTAATTTAAAAATGAATATTTTAAATACTTTATTGGTTTCTTTTATTTCAATTTTTAGGCTTTTATTTGTTGACAGTTCCATAAGTCAGTGGAGTAATTGTTTATTTATCAATCAAATTTATATGGCCATCACACAAAGTTACAATTTAGTTTAAAATGCTAATTAGAAGACAGCACATACTTGGTGGCTTTGGAGCACAGCCAGAGACCTTCTTCCTTCTAAATATATAGTAATAATGCTGAATTCCGAGGTTAGCCAGTGGTATATAGTAAACCACGGAAAAGTTTCATGATGCTGGGACCAAAAAAATGAAATATCAGCTCAGTTCAATGCTCTTATTCCAGACTGCCTAGTGAATATACAGTAGCATTTTGTGTAGAATCATCCTTGCTTACTTACTTACTTAATTAATTCATCAAATTTTTATGGCTGCCCAAAAGTGACTCTGGGTGGCGAACAATGAGAATTTACATCTACCAGTAGGAAATTGCAATGCACACAAAAACTTTTGCTTTTATCTGCTCAGCTATCATAAAATTTTAAAGTGTGTCTTACAGAATGGCAATTCTGTATCATAAGAAATGGAAAGTATTGAAATCAAAATTTAGCAGATTTATATTTACTTCTAGGTAGCTGAATTATTGCTTTGGTATGGAGCTGACCCACTGTTCAAGAATGAAAGAGGAAAGAATGCCTTAGAAGAAGCTACTGACAAACGTATGAGGAAACTAGTGAAAAGTTATATAGTTCAATCTGGTAAAACATCAGCATCAGGTAGGAAAGCACTATGACATTCATTCTTTTCATACCGAACTGCAAAAGAGGTTTTGAAGAGTACATGTAAGTATGGGTTTTGTTCTGCCATGATCCCATATATTTCAGATCAATTATAAGTTATTAATTGCCAGAGGCAATTCATTTTCAGTTTTTGACTCCTGTAATGTCTTCAGAGTTCTAAAGGAAAAATATCAGACAAATATATTGATTGACTGAGTTTCACAATATTTATGTCCTCCTACACCAATCCTGACAAACTGGGCAGCAAACAATAGAAACAGAAAATTTAAATAAACAGTAAATAATTAAAAAGGTGTAAAAACTGAAGTATCCAAAATTCCTCTGATGGCCACTCACAGCTGATCAACTAGGGCCAAAAGCACACTGGAGTAACACCAATTTTAGATGCTTTTGGAAAGCAATAAAAGTTGAATATTTGGGGAAATGTGTTCCAAAATACAGAGCTACCACCAAGAAGGCTTGTTATCTAGGCCATACTCCATGTACCTCTTGAGCAGGGAGGCTCTCAACAGTCCCACTCTAAATGATAAGAGCTATGACATTAATTCTTTTCATTCAGAAATGCAAAAGAGGTTTTGAAGAGTACATGTAAGTATGGGTTTTGTTCTGCCATGACCCCATGTATTTCAGATCAATTATAAGTTATTAATTGCCAGAGGCAATTCATTTTAGTTTGCCAGACAGGCAAATTAAATTCTGGCAAGGTATTGCATGATATATCCCAGGGTGTGCCATAAGCAACTTTAACTGATCAGCACTTTGAATTTGGTCTGAAACCTACTGGCAACCAGTATAGTGACTGGGTATGCTTAAAAATTGATTAAATAAATAAATAAATTCAGCAGTCTAGTTACCTCATTTTGTACCAGCTATAGTTTCTACATCATTTCCAGAGGTAGCTGTAAATAATAATTATCATTATCATAATAATAATGATTTCCTCCAGTGAGGCACTACCTTGACATGGTTGTGGGGCTTGAGTGCTCCAAGGAGGATGAGAGCTATGCCAGAGGTACAACCATACTGTACAGGTCTCATCAGAGGAGCCAGACAAAGAGTGCCTCTCTGGTAAACAATATGGTGACACGTAATTTACAGAAACCTATATCGGATTGGTCATCATCCGGGTCATCAAGGACCATGCTAAGTGTTCTAGTTACTGGACATTTGATGACGTGGGCTATAGGACTCAGGACTATTGGCTGAGCAACCAGGGCCAGCAGGACTACTGGAAGAAAAGTTGTTTATCTGTCGCAAATATGACTGAAGACTGAAAGACTGAAAACAAAGAAATAATAATCTGCTATTACAAATCAAGTCCAATAAGAAGAGGATATCTGAAAAGAATGCACCAGATTTGGAAAGAACAACATCCAGAATCAGAAATAACAGAATAGAGGCTAGCAGATCAATGTCGATTTATATTATGAAATAAAGCATTCACAGAAGTAGAATTGGAAGAACTACAAAGGTCTACCCAGGGCAAAGAAACCAAAGACTTGCCAGAAGTAGCTCAGACTGTAGAGCCAAACCAAGGGGAGTTGGCAGTAAGCTATTGAATAGTTTTCATTCCCAAACCAGGCACCCTCTCCTCTGTTTTTACCTCAGAAAAAACAAAGCCCTCTAACTAAAAAACAAGAGGAATTGAAACAAAGAATAACTGAGCATCTAGAACAGCACAAAAGAACCTCTGTTTTTACCTCAGAAAAAACAAAGCCCTCTAACTAAAAAACAAGAGGAATTGAAACAAAGAATAACTGAGCATCTAGAACAGCACAAAAGAACCTCTGTTTTTACCTCAGAAAAAACAAAGCCCTCTAACTAAAAAACAAGAGGAATTGAAACAAAGAATAACTGAGCATCTAGAACAGCACAAAAGAACCGAATAAGGTTGCCTGCATTGAAGCCTGTTACAAAGAAACAGCTACCACAAGTATTAAAAGATGCCAATACTGTAATATCAAATATAAGCACCAGCTCACAGCAAGAAACAAACCCTCATATATAAGCACCAGCTCACTGTTCAGCGAGTGCAGCAGTGGGCAGGAGGTCTCACCTGATGGGTAGGGAGGCAGGGAGCTATTCAGCTGCTGCTCCTGGCGCTGTCCAGTGCCCTCCTGGTAAAGTGCTGGCTGGGCTTTGGGATCATGGGGCTTGGCTGGCCCTGCTCCATGCACTTGCCAGTGACGTTAGTGCTGTGGCCACCCCGCACCCCACCACAAGGAGTTGCCACCAGGCATTCAAACCTCACTTGGCCACACACGGGAGGCACTGCAGAAACATTCGCACCTTGCTGCCTGGCGGATTGCCCTCACTGGCAGTGGTGTCTGGCACAGAGAACTCATGACCCTGGCCCCTTCCCAGCAGAATGGCAGGGTCTGGGGTGGCACTGTCCAGATAACTCCCTCCTTTGTGCAAGGTGGCTACAGTGGAGGAACTTCTTTGTGTGGAGTACGAATCCATAGAGCATGCAGAGCCTCCCAGCCAGCAGTGGGCTGAGAGTACTGAAGGTGGGGAGGCCCTCCAGGAACCTGGCAGCTAGGGAGGCCAGGTGAAGAAGATGATGAAGGTCAGCTGGGGGCAGCAGCAGGGGGGCGGCAGTGGAGAGGCAATGACGGTGGAATGCAGCAGCGTCTTTATCTCAGCCATGCTGTGCAGGGTGGCCAAAAGGGCAGAGATGGGGAGAGGGAGATAGGTGGTTGGGGGAGTTGAGGCAGAGGCAGTTCAGGCAGGACAGGAGAAGCATGAGGTCCTCACCTAATGACCACGTGGTCCTTGCCTAACAACCGCAACTGGGATTGCCATTCCTAAGTGCCATGGTCACATGAGATTTCACTTAACAGCTGCTTCACTTAGTGACGGAAATTCCGGTCCCAATTAGAATAGTAACCAGAGGACTGCTTCTATATCTGGCTGAGTAGGAGATACAATAATGGACCTGACCCAGTGTCTAGAAGCTGTTAGGGTCTGGATGGGAAAAAGACTCAGAGTGCACCTTAGAAAGATGGAGTGATTGTGGGTTTGAAGGCCAACTGTGGGTTGGAAGGCAGATATTCCATCTTTAGCTGTGGGAGAGTCATATTCCCCTGAACAGAGCTGGCTTTGGGTTGTCCTGGACTCATGGCTACTGTTTGAAAAGCTGATCAAGGTCATAGCCAGGAAGGCCTTTACACAATTATATCTTGTTCACCAATTGTAGCATTCCTGGATCAGGATGTGTTGTGCACACTTGCTCATGCCCTTGTTACTTCAAGGCTGGACTATTGAAGTTCGCTCCAAATAGAGTGGCCTTTGAAGACGCATTTCCTACATTCACTACACAAAGTAAAAACAAGCTTAGCTGAAAACTTCCTCATTCATATATTGATGCAGTGTACAACTATAACAAATTAAGAGAAAAGGCAATCCAATATAATTCTATCTCCAAGAATTAAAATACTGTTAAGACATTAAATGCAACAATATTAAAAGAAAAACGTCATGTTTCTGGTAGTGAAAGAAAGACCATTTTCTTTGGATGATGAAACAAGGATAAATGACCAAAGGGGAAAAAAAATCCAGTTAACTCCATTCATGCAAGTAGCTTTTCTTTCTTCAAAGCAATACTGTAGTTTGAAGTATTTTCCATATACTTCAGACTGAACTTGTGAAATGACAGAATAGCATAGCATACTTATATAATTGGAAATATAGAAAGAGACTCTATTATCAGTAATAATAATAATAATTTATTTAAATTTATTGGCCACCCAACTTCAATGGACTCTGCCTCGTCAGAATGCTGCCTCATCAGAAAAGAAAGGTCAATATACTATTTCACATATATCATTAAACCCTATTATAAGCTTTATCTTTTGTAACTGATTAATAAATTAGCCTAATTTTCATTAAACCCATCTTTTGTATAAATATATCAGTTTGTTACAGCAGGGAGAAGAACTATGTGGTATGAAACACAGTGATGGGTTTCCTTGTATTAAAGTTGATACTATAAATGACAACATTCAGACTGATGAAAAATATATCTGTCTGGACAGATGGAGAAACTATTAATCCTACTAATGAAAAAATAGATTACCAGAAAAATACATGCATTGTTCAACTGTATACATATAACCATATACTGGCACAAAGACATAGACAATGAGCAGGCTCTGAAAGAATGTTTACAACTGAAAAGTGTTATTTATTTAAAATAAAATTTAGTACACTCAAAAAGGAATTGCACATGTAAGTGATTCAGACTGTACAATTCTTTTAGAACAATATACTTTAAATGCAGCCCAAAACTCAGATAAAAATACCTCAAAAGCTGTTGGAATCTGTCATGAACAAACAGCTCAAGTTAGCATGGAAATATCTTCAACTTGTGCATTTTCTCAGGATATTAATAGAGGTGAAATTTCTGAAAGCTCTGACATTCACAGCTCCAATGAAAAGTCACGGTAAGACTTTGCACTCCTGTTATGCATGAGGATATAATGCTAGATCCAAGAGGAGAAGAAAATGTGAGAACATGTTGCTTTTAGAGGACAGAAAATGATAGTAAGACGGAGAATAATATCGTTCTGATTTTACCTGTGCTAGACAAGAACAACTCAAGGTAATCCATTTGTCTATACACACACATGCGCGCGCGCACACACACGTGTGCACAAAGTGTGCGTCCTGAAGTTATACAAAGGGGCTTTATTTATTTACTGTTTTGTTACTTGATCTTTTCTGTTCTTTCTGGATTTGCTGTAAACCACCTTGAGAATTTTTTAATTGAGGGCAATATGGATATATTTGAAGTAAATACATAAATTAAAATAGACACCTGATTTAACTGCAAAACAGTCTTCTTCAGAAAACGGACATTCCACCAGTTACCTGGTTAAAAGGTTAAGAATGCAGGAGAAAAGGAAGTAAATCCAGTTTCTACCTTTTCCCAATTCTCATCTCTGAATAGCTGCTAGTTACAGTCATTACTTGTTTAAGATTTGTCTATTTGAGGGTTCTTACTAATGAAACAGAGAGAAAAAATTGTACACATGGCAACTTCCATATTTATAGTTCTTTATTTAGCTAGAGATGAATGCTGAAGACTGCTTCCACTTAAGTTTGATTTTCAGAGATGGTCTTGTATGATCATATATGTAGAATTAGTTATTATGCTAAGTGAAATTCACAGCTAGTTTACTGATTTTTTTCATAAGATCTTTGTGATAAAATAATGTACCAGTAAAATTTATGAGTCTTTATATACTTTTTTTATTATTATTTGAGTCAGTCTTGACTATCGGCGACTGCCTGGACAAGTTCCTGCAGTTTTCTTGGCAAGATTTCAGAAGTGGTTTACCATTGCCTGCTTCCTAGGGCTGAGAGAGAGTACTGCCCAAGATCACCCAGTTGGCTTTTTACCTAAGGCGGGACTAGGACTCACAATCTTCTGGTTTCTAGCTTGATGCCTTAACCACTACACCAAACTGGCTGTCTCTTTATATACTTACTAGGGGTTTTTTTTTTCTGTTTTCTCTTTTAGAGATGGTTGCAATAAAAGAAGTATTAACCCCATAAAGTTATTATTGCCCCAGTATTTGTTTTCATAAATTCCAGTAGGGTACTGAATATTTCAAATCTATTTTTTCCTTTCAGGGGAGGCAAAGAAAAGTTAATTACTTTTTACAGAAGTATTTTCTAATATTTAAACTTAGGATTTGTAAATATTTTAGAAATATGCTAATTATTTTCATGTTGATATGTATAGTAGTTCTATAGATATTGTTTCTTTCTTTTGAGAAAAGCATAATAATTCTATCACTTTTTAATTTAATAAACACTGAAAACAGAGAATCTGGGAAGATGTCACAATAAGGCAAAAGAAGAAGAAAATTCAAATAATACATCAAATGTACCTTTCCTGTCAGTTAAATTAAAAACTTTTCAAACTGAATATAATGGGAATTGTCAAAATGACCATCTGGGTTCCAGCAGTAATGTGAAGGAAGTTTCTTCGAGTCATACAAAGTTCAGTCAAACTGAAGAACGACAAATACCACAAATCCTAGGTAAGCAGTTAATAAATACATGAGGGCTGACAAACTGAAGTTCAAGCTAGATAAAACATGGCTATTATTAATCTAGCTTGATTAATTTATCTAGCTTGAACTTCCACTTATTAATGATCCCCAGTTCACAAAAATACATTCTGCTTTCCTGGAGGACATTGTATTTTGTCAGAGGTCTAAATTCATAGCTTGAGGATCATCCTTGAAGCAGTCATTTACAGTAAAGACCCAGATGATTTCTGTGAGATGGAGCATCTTTTATCAACTTAAGCTGGAGCTCCAGCTGTGGTTCTTGGAGACTTGACTGTAATAATCTATGTTCATATACTTACCATCAGGATTACTGTAATGCACTGTACATCAGGTTGCCACTAAAGACATATTGGAAACTAAAGCTGATGCAAAATAATGCATCAAGAATTGTGAAGAGTTGGTTTAAACATATTCAGCACTCTTCCCCTGCTTGGACTGGTTCCCACTTCATTTCTGAGCCCAACTGAAAGTGCTAGTTTTGACCTATAAAAGTCTTCATGGTTTATCACTTTGATAATTGATGGAACAACACTTCTGAGTTTTATGCCCAGCCATGACCTATGGTCATTTTAGAGTCCATCTCCACGATACATCCTTATTTTACTGTGAAAGGTGAAAGATAGTTACTAGACCAGAGGGCTTTTTAAATGTGATGCTTTTTCAATAGAAAGTTGCCTGGTACCCACCATTTTGTTAACAGAAAGACTTTTCTGTTCTCCACACATTTTAATTCATTAGTAAAATGTGTGTAAGTTTATAACATTAATCTAATTTTTGTTGATAGCTGTTGGATTGTAGCTGGTTTTTAGTTCTTTTTTAAAAACAATTTTATGAAGCTGATGTGATATTTTCAACACTTTATTATTATATGTTGGTCTTCGTGTTGTACAGTGGAACCTCAGTTTACGAACTTAATTCGTTCCGTGACTCTGGCGCACCCC